AACGACATTCATCCGTCCAAATCTGGTGAGATCGGCCAATGAATCTGTTCTTAATTCACTTTCATGCGAACTGAAAGTCTTTGAAATTCAGTAAAATAATTTTTACGATTAGAATCGTTAAATTTGCATCGCTTAAAAGAATAAATGATTATTTTTACTCACAAGAGTTAAAAAGTTGCTAATGCTGATCTAATTGATGCTTGAGTAGGCAACCGAATGTGATCGGTTGTTGTAGTGACATAAACGGTGAATTTTGAATCTTTATCTCGATGTATGCAATCGACAGTGAGTTGGTAGAAAAGTTATAACGTGACATCTGCAAGTTTTTTGGCCCTTCAGGATGTCAGGTAGTCCTCACCTGTCGTGGGCGTTTTTCGACACACTATTCAGCCAGTGCATGCGGGACACCAAAAGATGCTGCTGCTGCTGTGGTTGTCTTTTGTTATCATAGCACTTTTTTCCTGCCATTATATCACTGGGGAATGTGATCTCCACAGTTGCCAGACATTTGGGAGAAGCCAGGTTGATTTCGAGGCTTTCTGGTCCTTGATTAGCAATCCTTTTTGTGGAAGCCATTGTCGATATAGTTTTTATTGCAGAAGAAGTTGAGGTTGTGTTATTCGTGAGTGTTGTGCAATTAATCGTCTGTAATGGAGGTGGTGGAGGTGGTGGTAGGTGATGCATCATTTGAGAGTGTGAGTTGCGTGCAGCATGTTGCTGGCCATACTTAGAGAGTCGGCGTTCTGCCTTGTAAAGCCTGTAAGCTAGCAGATGTTTGGCTGGCTCATCATGGTGCTCGAACTTAAAACAAGCTTGTCTGTTTACTGCTCCCATCAAAGTCGAGCCTGGAGCCTCATCTGCTGCTGCGATTGTGGTCGAGCCGTTGTTTCGCGATCCAGTAGTAGTAGCTGCTGCAGAGACTGCAAGTCGGTTGGCTGGCTTTATTCTATCACGGACAGAACGCTGGGCAGTTTCATCGTTCGCCCACAAAGAAGCAATCGAGTAAACTTGTGCTACGCTTGTCGTAGCTGCTGCCACCAAGGCCCCTTGTTGACCAGGGATGCATGAAACACCGATTACGGGGCGGCTGCAACACCAAGCTGCCAGAAACTGATGCTGAGATCCCCCTGTTACTGAGCTTGGGCAACATGCCACCTGAGCATCAGTTTGTTCGCAGCACGACAGAAGGTTGGAAAGTAACTTGATATGATTTTCTAGAGAAAGCATGGAATCAGCTGAAGTCGGGAACTCATATCGCAGACAGAGTGGCTTTTGAAGAACGCGGGCCTGCGACGATACACTGTAGCCTACTGATCTGGTGTGTCTGGCGCCCTTTTTAATGCGGTTTCCTCGACTCGGCTTGACTGCGCCGGGTGGAGCCAACCTATATTGCAAGGAGAATATTTTCAGTTATTACGATTTGGCAATATAAGTTGCATTAACTATTTAATATTTGATTTTTCTTGGGGCTAATAAACTTTAAGGTTCATTTAGTCACTTTTCATGCAGTTTACTGTTAAGGTCTTCTCATTGCTTTGTCCATCTTCATATGAAAATTGAAAAAAATATCCTGAAAATGTTACTTTTCCTGTGGCACATTTTTGAAATTCCTTCTCTCAGCACCAGTATCATGGATAATATTTTGAAGTGCCTGACGCCTATCTCTAAATTCAGTTACCGTTTACCCGGGCTGATTACTCTGAACTTGGGTTTGATCATGCGTGAACAAATAAAAGTTGACAATTCAAACATTTGTAATACATATCAAAGAGCTTAATGGTTTATCGAGAGAGGCATTTATATTATTTATCACTACTATATACTGGTACCTACAAGATCAGATGCTACTACTTCCAGCAAACTTAGAGGAACCCATACTATAAGTGGGCTTGATTCATTAACCAGATCCTGTAGATGCTAAATGTAAAGCCAGCCCTCCTTGCGGGCCAGGAAAATTAGTGCACTCTTTTGACATTCATGACAATAGACAGTTTTTTGTGCTGCTTCAAATTGGTGTACAAATATGTTGAGACCAGATGCCAATACTTGACCCTAAGTTAGAGGCCTTCGAACCTTAGGACCATTACTTAAATCGGCTCAGGTTTATTTGCTCTTTCACCTCTAAGCTCCTCTCAAGTTATGACTCATCTCAATCGGTCCTCATTTTGAAGGGAATTTGTAAGGTAGCATTGCATCCCAAAAGCTGATAACATTAGCATCAATTATACAGCCACATCCTTTTTAAACAAATTATCTTTGATAAACCACCGAGAAGCCAAACGAAAAGAGTATCCTATTCATATTTAAAATAATTGGCCCTCGTCAAAGTGTTATTTTAGAATGTGGCTCATAGCGAGGCAACACTCATTAGCAGCATTAGTCTGAAACCCATCTTCAAAAACAGATACATTACTCGGTAAAGCGTTACCTTAAATAAAGACATGAATATATACTAAGTTCGTAAAAATCTTATATATACAATGATACGTTCCTACAAAATAAATTTCTATGCTATTTTTGTAAGTTTATCAACGTAACTAATGGACGTTGATAGGGAGTGAGATTGAAATTGTGTAGTCAAGCCAGCCAACGTTTATCTTGAAAGGGCGATCTTGAAAAGGTATCATATCATTGATATATTTATATTTAATAACTCTGACTTCTGTAAATATAAAACAAGTTTAAGAGCTGCATTCACGATATTTCGTTTAATTTCCCGATAACTAAAGTGAACGCATGCTGCTTCTATAGCGCTTTAGTACGCTTTTGAATGGACCCTTTTAAGGTCATACGAAGTTAGCTAAATAAGAAGTGGGTTGACCTCGTTGTCGCGACTTGTTCTTGTTGTCAGGGTGACTTAGTAAAACGCGCCTAGTCCGAAGTCGTCTGCCATAGTAGTTGTAATGATTCCCATAATATGGCAGACTACTTCGGAATAGATGCGTTCCAATAACTCACCCTGACAAGACCAAGTTGCGGCAATGAGGTCAACCCAATTCTATAAATCGAAAGGAGACTGAGACCATACTAGAGGCCACAACATTTTGGTCTTCATATCTTTAA